CCCCCCCCCCCCCAGAGAAATGATCCAGTCGGTCTCAAACTAAGTGCAGTCGGTCTCAAAATTATGCTGTTTACATGCAGTACTTTGCGAAGCAAATTAAATATTTTCGAAACTCGAGATAGACTCAAACTATTTAGTATTGAGTTGGAAATTTGCTCAGAAATAATATGAAGAAATATTACGTACTTATTTCGCGAGTTTATGAACAAATTATCAGTTGGCACTTTTATTTGGAACTTAGGTTCTGCAAGGTCATTCACGGGTGACATTCTATATTAGCGAAAATTTCAAACCCCCCAAATCAAAATTCGATGAATCTCGATTAAAATAGCTAGCATTAGTTACAATATTTCTCCGGTCCCTAAACTATATCTTTAAGATGCAAAGTGCAAAAACGAATTTCTAGCCGAGTTATATTAGGAATTACGTTCACATGTAACACGATATGCATATGGATTTTGTTACCAAAGGGTTTTATGTGCCTACTGCAATCAACTGAGAAATTCGATCAGTGAGTTCTCTCCATGTAAGGCGTTATTCTTGCCCTACAGTGACGTAAGAAATGGGAGGCTGTGTGGGTGCACAAGTACCCCAATAACAAAAGTGCGGGCCAGCGCCCAAATATTACAACAATTGAGCACAAATACTTTTTTATTATGCACCTGATCAATGATGTTCGACCAAAAATATTTGTAATTCTTAGCCTCAGGATTGGGGGCAAACTACAGTATAAAATTATAGTCATTGTGTCACTGTTTATGAAATTGATTTTGTCGTTTAAACTGCTCCCAGAATGCAGGAAATAGCGATTCTAAGCCTTGGAAAATAAAGAATTTTCTGGGGGAGCATGTCCCCAGACCCCCCAAAAGTGTCTCGGTCAATCAAAAATCCTATAGTTACGCGCCTGACAGTTCCTGTAACATCCGATGCATCAGCCGAGCGCAGCTTTTCAAATTTGAAATCAATGAAAACAGTTATGCGTTCAGTAATGAACCAGGAACACCTTGGTGAACTCTTGACTCTTGCTTGTGAGCGCGACAGGGTCTTAGCTAGGATTTTAGATCTTGGGCGTGTTTCTAATGACCAGGGTGTGCACATCTCAATTACTTTGAATAGCCAAATTCACGGTTCTATAGTTATACTCGCCAACAACAGACAATGCCTGTGGTTGTTCACTGGTTCTATGCTTTGCAACCAAATACAAGGCGAGCAAACGCTCATATTTCGCACTGACATACTCTTGGGGCTATTTAAAACCACTTTAACACCATACGGTTCCCATTATCCATCAAAACATTAAAACATCACAGATCACTAGTATACTTTTGCCAATTTCAACAACAACAACAACAACAGTAGATTTTACAAACTTTCTTACAACGTAAATTGGAAGAAATTCTGTTTGTTGTAAGTACTGTAGCAACACCTTATTTTATGAACCTACACGGCCTTATAGAAATAGTGAAGCCGCGTTCATTTTATCTAGCCATGTTTTTCCACTTTTGGCCGCGATAACACGGCCAACACGGCCCTCTAGCTAAGACCCTGGAGCGCGATCTAACAGACACAGTCACACGATCGATCTTGACGAAATCGCTAATCCGTGGTCAAACCTGACTAAGCGCAGACACTTAACGTTTCACAGCAAACTGTACGTGTTCTTGCAAAATTCCTAATAAATCCCATCAATTTCCATGCTTTGTACTCGATTTTATCGCAACACACCAACTCACCAAGAGTCGGTCTGGATTCACGTTTCAGTGGTGGGTCGGTCTCATTTCGTGATTACACCCTCCCAGTCAAAATCGATATGTCCGCCCCTGCCTGCTGGCAGTAGTTTCTGAGCTGAGGAGAAACTACTGCGAGCAAACGAACGATTTTCTAGCGAAGAGTGATGTGACCAACGCGACGTCACTTTAAATTTGACTTTCTCTTCTGTAGTTTGTTAGATGTAAACAAGCTTGACATAGTACTGTTTTGTTTGTTGTTTGTCACTTTTAATCAAACGACTTTTTATTCTACATGCAGTTAACAATTTTTGTATCGGTTCTATAAATATCGTTGTTGCCAATACTAAAATATTTTGAAAATCGGTTTCTCACGCTAGAAATTTGGCGCTTGAATTTCTGTTATATCTTTTTCAATATTTGTGTTACCTTAATTTAAAACATGCAAATTCCTGCCTCATGCATAGTGGATATGTTCATGTAAACCAGACAAAGTTTAGAGTTGCACGAGCCATGCAAGCTAGCTTTGCCTTGCATGGGGCGGAATTTTCCAAGTATTTGAAAGAGAAATTTGAACAGCGAGGAAGAAATGTAAAACACGAAAATACGTGGATGTTATAACAACACAGTGTAATGGTATGTTAGTAAGATATAAATAGTTATTCATTCAGTTCGGACCGCCTTAGCCTGCGAACAGGCCCTGGGTTACGGGCGGCGCGAAGAATAGAGGGCCTGCACGGAACTATAGGTTTTCTTGGTAGTGGCGTTCGTATAGAAACGCAGGCTTTTGATTGGCTTACACTCGTTGACAAAATTACTAAAAATAGCAAATGTCAACAACAGCATTTTGAATAGCCTGCGTGCAGGCCCAAGGGAACTGATAGTGGGCCTGCAACCATCGTCCGGTATTTTGTAAAACGCCCCTTTTCATAACACGCCCCATTCGCGCGTCAATTGTCAAAAAAGAACCAATGACAGCACCCAAATATTAACAAACAAACTCGCATTAAAATGTTGCGGGGTTTTCTCTGCTTATTCAGAACACTAATAAACAATGTGTAAGTAGAGGTTACTATAGTTTACCCCAGTCGTAATTTGCTATTCCAACACCTCACGACAAGCAATCCCCATTGGCATAACGGCAAAAACATGTCTTCCTTCAAGTAAACAATAAACATTCTGTTCTTGTTCCATTTGTAATCGAAAAAAATGATCAATTTTCAAATTTTAAGCTTATCGAGAGCCTTTGTCTATGCCTTTGTGATGAATCACTGTTCCCTTGGGCCTGCACGCGGGCTAGGTTAATTAATTACCGATCGCCTCAGCTAGCCAATGGGAATTTAGCCGGCGGTTCGGCCAGCGAAAATCGAAAACATGGGGTGATGGCTGCAGGCCCACTATCAGTTCCCTTGGGCCTGCACGCAGGCTACATTTTGAAGAATTTGAACTTTATTCATTTTAATATTATATATTATAAGACTATCGAACAAATAAAACTAGAAATGGAAACCAAAAGCAATAGCAAAGCATCACAGCAAAAAGTCTATCATAAATGACTTGAATCTATCGCTTAAATCCAATATACGAAACTATAACAGTATTCTGAACTTCGTCTTCGGATTGACATCAGACTATAGTATAGTACATTTTGAGGTCGTCGTGGCTTCACGGATTATTCTTATTAGTGAGCAAGTCAGCAAGCGAAGGTATACAAAAGATACCCAAATATGTACGAATAATTATATTGTTGTCCTCGCTGGCATGTCATTTAGATATAAATATATATCGTACATTAAACGTTGTACTATTTACTGTATAAACTGCTGACAATATCGTCGTCGATACGGCTTCCACCACTATGCTTCCACTATTGGCACACTCGTGATTTCGGAGAAATTAATAAATACATGCTCATTTATCATTTATTTAGACCACAGTTAGTAAAATTTTAGATGTATTCGGTATTCCAAATCCCAATCTATCTGACCGTATTTTAGTAATAGCTTCAAATATTCAGAACATTGTTCTTTCAGTCGCACATAGTACAAGTATTACTGTACATTGATTCAGTGCCAATGATAGTATTTTATTCGGCTTTATATTTGTATGTGTATTGATATCTATTTAATATTTGAAGAATTCTATATTTTTCCGAGTAATATTTTGTGCGGCCCGCTAATGCTTTGTAGTATTGTTCATATATACATTGTGTATACATTTTAAATTTTAATATTCAGTATTTCTTCGTTGCACAATGTACACGCCTTGCGTCAATTTGACAGTTGACAGTTTATTTATCGCAGTCGACGCTGATTGGTTCGCGTTTAGCAGATGCGAAAAGGGGATGATTGAATAAAACGCATGGTTCCGTGCAGGCTCACCTTTCTCCCCGTGAGCCTGTTCGCAGGCTAGGACCGCCTTTTTAGACAGCTTTAAGCTCCAGTCAAACGAGGATGAGAGTTGACAAGCGAGAATTTGCATGAGAATTTTCTTAACTAAATGTCAAAAGTGTCAGACGAGAACACGAGTTGCGTGAGAGCAGGGCGTTTATAAGATATTATCTTATAAACGTTTATCTTATATCTTATATATATATATATATATATATATATATATATATATATATATATATATATATATATATATATATATATATATATATATATATATATATATATATATATATATATATTATCTTATAAATTTATCTTAAAAACGCCCTGGTGAGAGTTAATGAGACTTTGCTGGATATTTCAAGTTAAACTAGCAAAAACTCTCGTCAAATCAAAATTTGAATCAGCTCAAAGTTGATGAGAGTCGATGAGAGTTGGCGGTCAAATGCGAGCGAGCTTTTGAAACTCTCGTCAGTATTTACATCGAGTATTGTAAAGTGTTGTATAGTGTTGTACCTTCCTAAATACTATATGGCGTTCAATAGTTTCTCAGACTCAGTATAATCAAAAACTCTGTGTTTTTAAAACTCGTGATCAGCCATGCCACGGTTAGCACGCCATTTCTAGGACTATCTTTAAAGTCTCCTAGCTGAAAATCTTCAGTTTTGAAACTCATTTCTGCGGTATGTATTTGGTTTTGAATTTGTTCGGCTATATTCAGTTTGACTTCGTATGTGTCGTTAACTTTGGCGTAAAGTTGGATCAAATGTTTTGGAATTACTAAATAGTTGATGTGCAACCACTCCCATGGGATTCAAAGGACACAGATATTTTCGCCATGTTGGATGAAATCCTTTGTCAATGCCATCCAACATGGCGACGGTCATGACGTAACTTGTACTGTGGTCTATTTCAAGGTAGCTTGCACTCTTTGTACAGTACGTGTTCTACTGCAGTTGGAATGGCTAGGGTTAATATTTGATCAAGTAAGTTCATGGGTTGACAGTTGATCAAGGATCTGAAGATGTACTTCTGCTGACCGCAGTTTTATTTCTTTTGATTCCATGTTGATGTTGATATTTTTTCTATTTTCTACTGACCACAAAAATTTTCTAGGAACAAGTTCTTGAATTTGAATTTTATTTGATTTAACACCACATTACATAAAGATTGCAACACAACAAATACACGAAACTCGAAAATCATCTTGGTGACAAGGAAGCCCAAAACGAAACCACAAGCCGGCTTATATAAATTTAGGCTCCCTTTAAATGTACACCATATATATAAAAAACACAATTATATGCCTAATAAATTACGAAGTGCAGACGTGCTTGAGCTTGCAGACTAAAATTTTACATCATAATTATTAATAAATTGAACACAAATATTTTTTTAGTTTTTTCTTAAATAAAATAGAGGACACAATGTCAACCAGATCACGAGGAAGAGAGTTAAAAAATTTTGGACCTTGAAAGCGCACCGAAAATTGTCTGATATTTGTTCTACATGAAGATACATAATACTTGGAGGAGTTTCTTGTGTTAAAAGTGTGAGTTTGATCATTTTTTAAAAACATGTTGTCAAATCGTTCAGGTAAAAGAGAAAATTTATGATGAAACATAAATTGTCCAAGTTGTAGATACAAATATCATTCAATTTCAATAAGCCAAGCTTCTTAAATATAGGGCTATAGTATGTGCATTGAATTTGAAAAAAAAATTCAAGGCCTTGAAAGTCCTTGAATTCATAAGGAAGTGCATGAAAGTCCTTGAATTCTTCTAGCTTTAGTTTTCGGATATTTTCTGAAATGGTTTGACATTAAAAACCGGACATTTTGTTGGATTGACTTTGTTCATGTCTTACAAAGCTGTTTGAAATTCATTAAAAATGCAATTTGAACAGTTTACTACGTCACCTTTAAATTATTTCCAACGATTTGTTTTCAGTCCCTTGGTCCTTGAATTTCCTAAAACGTAGTCTTGAAAATCCTTGAAAAGTCTATGAATCTACTTTTCCTGACCTGTATACGAACCGTGTATCCAGTCTAAATGAAGTGACTTTATAGTTGAGGTTTTCTCATCTGTATATAGTAACACTTGATTAATACGAAATGGCCCTATTCGACCTCTGGCAGAACAGTGTGGAACAAATAGACCCATCCTGGGTAAGGTTGAAGTAAATTAATTGCATAAAATAGCCAGAATGTTGTGTGTGCGCATGACTTGCATGGGTAATATTGTGTCGATCAAATACTTGCTTTGAAATTTTCAATTGAACATATTTTCAGCTATATATTACTATTATAAGAGTGACTGTGACAACTCGTAGTATTAATAGTCTTCAAGAAATTTGTAAATTCAAAATAATAGAACCTCAAAATATTTATTCAGCAAAATTAACAACGTATGATCATGGTAAA